ATGAACATCTGATACCCTGGTACCCCAATCCATGGTGACATTAAGGACCAACTCAGCACTGACACAGCCCATGAAGCAAGAGTTATTCAAAGTGACATGGCCCATGTTTAATGCCAACAGTCCCTCCTCAGCGCTCACTCTGGGCAAAGATGGAGCTGTGGGGTTCACACCTTTTCCCGAGGAGCCTGGCGCCCGAGGAGAAGGCCGGTCCCCAGGGTGGCCTCACCCGCTGCACCCATCCTCGGCGATATGGGCCTCCAGGGGCCTCCTCTTCTGCTTTCTCCAAACTTGTCACAACCCAGAAAAAAATCGGGTTAGCCCCAGTGATCGGAACCTTCATAAGGTCCCAGAGATCGTGTCCTTACGAAATGGCAGCCGCTAAAACACGCGGGGGGGCCTTTGAGATGCTGCTCACCCTGTTGGGCGCCCCCAGGTCTGCATTAGCCCATTGGTGAGCTCACAAGCATCCGAGGACCAAGAGGGAGCGCTGGGAGTGACACCTGCTCGCTCATTGCACAGAACCTGGGACACCCCTGCCCCCCCAACCACAGCCGTCAGAGTCCCATCACCCCACCTCCAAACCCTCTCAGACTGGACCAGGGCTCTCCCTCACCCCGCATCCAGGCCACATCCAGGCTCCTCCATCACTATTTCTCCTGGACCCAAGCAACAGCCCCCTCAGGGGGGAGCCAGCCTCTGCAGAGTGTCAATGAGGCCACACCACGCCCCTGCTCCAAACCCTCCTCTAGTTGCATATGAAGAGAAAACCCAGCCCTTTCCCCAGCCTCCAGGGCCCCTGAGCCTGCGTGGTCTGGCCACGCCCGTCCTCTGGGACTCCTGACTCCTGTCCTTCACCCAGCAGCCAGCCCTTCACGCACCCCGAGGGCTTCCTGTCTGAGGAACTTGCACTTTCTGCTCCCTCCACTGAGAACGACCTTCCCCCAGACTACATCCTTCAGCTGGCTCTTGGCTCTCGGCTGACAGGTCATCTCCTGTCCCCAGACCCTGCAATGCAGTGACCCCGCAGTTACCCCCATCACATCGCATCATTTCATTACCTTGGGGCACACACTGCCTTCTATTTTCCCGGTGATATCTGTGGTCTGTTCTTCTGTCCCAGCCCCCTACCCGCCCTGGCCTGTCTGTGCACACAGAGAGCAAGCTACAACCTCCATGGCTGCAGGGACCCTGCTGGCCTGTTCCCCGTGGCATTCCTAGACCCTGGCCAGTGTCTGGCAATAGGAGACAAACACCTTTGCAAAAGGAATGAATTAGCAGCGACTGAGGACCCATGACATGCCAGGCAGGTGCCAAGGAGCTGGGGCTATAAGTGGACAGGCAGACACATGGTCATTGCCTGCCTCTAGCAAAGGACCAGGCATAAGTCAAGTCACTAATTAGATATTGTGTGGGCGGGATGACTGCTATGAAGGCAAAGGAAAGTTCAGAGTGTGCACGTGTGTGTGTGTGTGTGTGTGTGTGTGTGTGTGTGTGTGTGTATGGAGGGTGGTGTGGTTTTAAAATGTTCACAGATTCCCTGGCGCTCCTCTCTCAAGGGGTGGAATTGCATTCCCGCTCCTGCAACGGGAGGGCCTCGGCCATTGATTCCAAGTAATGGGACGCAGCAGCAGTGATGCTGTGTGACCTCCTCAGTGGCATCATCCAGGCACGGCTCCTGTCTGGCCTGCTCCTCCGCCTCGCTTAGGCAAAAGGAACCTCCATCAATGAGCACTTAAAGAGCCCGTGTCACATTTTTTAAAAAAAGATGTTTTTGTTGAGTTGAGAGAGGAAGGGAGAGGGAGAGAGATAGAAACATCAATGATGAGAGAGAATCACTCATCGGCCATCTCCTGCACACCCCGTACTAGGGATCGAACTCGCAACCCGGGCATGTGTCCTGACCAGGAATTGAACCGTGACCTCCTGGTCCATAGGTCGACGCTCAACCACTGAGCTGCACCAGCCGGGCTCCCTCCCTAGTTTTGGTATTGCTTAAGCCCCTTCAAGATGGGTTCCTGCTACTAGAAAAGTCCTGCCATAGGATCAAACTACGTGTGCTCTCCCCTCACCCAGAAGTGCCCTCATGCCCAAGCTCAACATAGGTGGCGGCCCCCTCCCAGGCACTCCCTGCCCACCTCCCCTTCTCTGCAGCCCCTTCCTGGCTTCCTAATGGATGGCCTGGGACTGAATTATCTCAAGATTCCCTCCAGTCTGGTAGCTCATCCCCCGTCCCCGCTCTCAGAAAAGCTGATCTTTCTGAAACAGATGTGCAGAATCATGCCATTTCCCTGCTTAACACTTCTGTGGGCTGATCACAGTCTATAGCGGTTTCCTAAAGGAGGGGCCACTGGCCCTTGAGCTCAGTGAGCTGGTTTTCCATGGCACAGGGACCCAGGGGCACAGCGAAACACAGAACAAGAAATTCGGCCCTTCTGATTCTCTTATAAACCCTCTGATTTCTTTCTAGAGAAGACTCTCCGCATGGAACTCCCGTGGCTCTGACACCTCACTACCACTCGCTTTGTTTTCGTTACACATATTTATTTATTTTTAATTGATTTTAGAGAGAGAGGAAGGCAGAGGGAGAGAGAGACAGAGAAATATCGATGTGAGAGAGAAACATCGATCGGCTGCCTCCTGAATGCATCCCGACCAGGGATGGAACTCGCAACCCAGGCAGAGGCCTGGACCAGGAGTTGAACCTGTGACCCTTTGGTGCACAGGATGATGCTCCGAACCACAGCCGGGACTCATTACATTTATTTTTATGGTCACCTTCATTTACGCAAGGGATACTGGTCTTTCAATGACAGTCGTTATGTCAAGTTTTCTTTGGAAATTAATTTGCATAACCACAAAAGTGAGTCTTTTTAAAGAAAAAAGGGCAACTATCAGGAGGTATTTGGATATGGTGAATGACATCTGGCAAACAAGGATTCACAGGATGAAATCAGCCATATATGCTAATACAGTCCGCCCCTTGACCAGTCCTTTAAACCTACTGAAGGGCTGTGACGCCCAAGGTGAGTCTCTCAGAGTCACACCTCCAGCCTTTGCCCATGCCGTTCCTTCTGCCCGGATGCCCTTTCCCCACAACCTCCATCTTGACCTAGAGCAATCCCATTCATTCTTCAAGGCCCAGGTCAGTGTCACTGCTTACTGTGGCCAGCGGCTCCAGGGTTCCCGGTGCACCTGGAGAGCTACTGCTGTGCTCACTCAGGACACCTTCCCTTGAGCTGAGAGATCCCAGAAGACCTGCTTGGTCTCTCACTGTGTCTGGCACAGAATTTCAGTGAGATGAATGGAAGGGCCTCGAACTGGGGCTGTGGGTCCATCAGACACAGAACCCCTGCAGACAGCACAGGCCTGGAGCCCCAGCAGTGGGAGGAGGGAAATTCTACAGGGAGGGGGCAGAGTGATCTGCAAGACCAGGTGCCTGAGTCTGGGCCCCACAAGACAGCTCAGGGATTCCTTCAGGTGAGAAGAGGAGTGAGCACCCTGGGGTGGAAGAATCCTGCACAGGCTCCTAACCACCTGGCACTTGTTATAATGCTACTTCCTTAAGCCCCACCCCAATGACTCTGAGTTGGTGGGTATGGAGTGGGTCCCCGAAGCTTCACTTTTTCTTTGTTACTCCTCACCCGAAGGTATTTCCCCCATTGATTCTTAGAGAGAGTGGAAGGGAGGAGGAGAGACTCAGAGAGAGAAACATTGATATGAAAGAGACACATCGATTGGTTGCCTCCCGCACGCCCTGACCAGGGCCAGGGATCAAGCCTGCAACCCTTCAGTCCGTGGGCCGACACTCTAACCACTGAACACTCGGCTAGGACCCTGAGCTGCACTTACAATAAATGCCTCAGGCAAGGTTGAGGACCCCACTCAGGCAAGCACTGGCCATGGTGTCAGGGAAGCATGGAGGCAGGTAGGGGCCCAGCAGACAAAACACAGAAATGCCCGTGACTGCGAAGAGCCTCCAGAACATGCATCACTGCCTGGACCCCAAGAGCCTGGACTCACAGCCGACCAGAGAGCAAAGCGCCACCAGGATTATTTAAAATATGTCCCAGTAACTCAGAGATGTGTTTACCGGAAGAGATCCACACAGGATCGCAGGCATTCTAGAGCCAACAGGAGCGATCAATCCAGAATATAGGCTCTCTCGTCAGAGACCTTGTCACAGGCGACTGTAGGCAGGGAACTTAACCCCCAGAGGTCAGGACCAAGGCCCTTTCTGAGTAAAGAACCCCTCCTTTGTTTGAATGACCAGGGAGTCAAATTGTTCATAGATGAAATCAAAGCAAATGTGGGGTCGGG